AAGGTCCAAGGAAATTTAAATGTGTTTTGTAGTTATCAAAATAAATTTTGAACTTTTTTTAAGCAATGAAAATTTATTTTGAACATTTTGTAACAATGGTAATTACTCTCTAAGATTTCTGTTAATTAACCGTAAAGAAAATATAATGATCGTTAGTCGCCAAAACACCAAAATATTAACCGTTAACCGTCAAACCACCACACTATGTTGAGACCCTCTTCTGAAATGCTGGGAATAAATGGGGGTTGTTATAAGGGCTATGAATCTAACTTCCGGTTCATTGGAAGCCTGAAAAATAATTCGGGGAGCGCGAAACTGAAGACTTTGGAGAGTGAAGCGATCGGGTCGGGACGTGCTCTCCGGGAGCCTGTTTGCAGGCTAGTTCATTGTTTCATTACTACTCACTTTTCCCTTCTTTCTGCATAGTTGCCTGAAAGGGATGCGTTAGACATCTGTACTTGAGCTCAATGAAGAAGAGTCTTACATAGAAAGAAACGTTTTATTGAGAGAGAAGCGAACAAATACAGCCTTTTTAATGAGCCAGAATAAAGGGTTTATAGTTAATATATATTGTATAAAATAAAGCGAGTGGAAATTGGACGTAATTTTTTTTTTCTATCAGTAAAACACTTTCATTAACCCTTTGAATACCAACTACGCATATATGCGTAATTAATGGTCGTGCTCTTTGTACCACTTGTGACGTCATCAATTTAACTGTCATCAGATATTCTTGATCTGCAGATAGTAATACTAGGCCAGGCCTTTCCGTACAATGGTCAGGTTAAGATATCGACGACATTCCGACGTCACAAATCGAAAAACCAAGTTATCAGTTGTGGTGCAAAAACGGTGGTAAAATGGTCCACTACGCCTATGATTGATTAGGTCCATTTCTAGGCTTTGCCCGTAATTAACATCCAGCTTTTCACGGCAGTCCAAATTTTGGCTTATGAGTATGCCCGGAATTGAAATATTGCTCAATTTTGTACCTAATCCTCGAAAATTCTCTCCTTTTAGTAAAAAAAAAAGCTTTCTTAGCAAAACTTAGGCTTAGTTAGCGTCATGGCAGCTAAAAAACCTGACTAAACTGTTAAAAACGGTATTTTTTGGCAAAAGTTTGGTATTCAAAGGGTTAAAGTTATTTTTGTAAGCTAGAAGCTTGCTTATAAAAAGATGTTTTACGATGCAGAAAACTCCTGGAAATACTACTGGTATTTTACAGCTTTGCGCTGCATAGAGCGGTTAATGCTTGTGTACTTATTTAATAACTGTTAAGTTTAATATCCTTCTGGTAATAAAGAAGGAAAATTTTAAAGAATTCAAGAGTAATCTACTTCCGACTTTTTCAAAGAGCGCACAATGCCAATGAAATAATCGAAAAAATAAAGAGCTAATCGATTTGAATACGCAACGTGTGGGCGGGGAAATTTTTGAATCCGAAAARAAAAARTTGCGGATTCAAAAATATCCAGATACGTGTGGACGKGGCCTKAGTTCACGATGTTTAAAGGAGCTCAGTCAYRGTTTGCACATTTTGAAAAGTTTAGCCTWAATTTTTCAAATTCGTCGTTTGCAATCCGTGTCAATCTTCGTCATCCTTGACCATCTTTGTTCCTTTATGGTTTATTATTATCTCTTTGATGTTTTTCTATCTTAGTAAACCATTATTTTCAGATTTCCTTCCATTTAAAGGAGATTTTGTACGTGGCCAAAAAAAGGCAAAACACTCTGACTGAGCTCCTTTAAGCCTAAAGGAAGGAGAAACCTCGAGTACAAGTATTTTTTAAACGGTATTACCTTCTATTTATGCTAAAATATTGAGAACTTCTACCAAACAGCAGAAATTAAATTAACACCTCCAATAATTCGTTTTTGCACTGTCGCCTACTCTTTAACGCTTTTGTGGGATAACGTTTCTCGCAGCAGCTGCATTTGCACTGTTTGCAAGTCAGTGTTTTGTTCGTTGTAGTGTAAGCCTTAGTTCTTCGTGCCTGTTCTTGTGCACCGATCAATACACGTATTTACCTAGAATTTGCGACAAGCACGGAAACCTTCTAAAAACGCAAAATTCCTTTGTCATCTTAAGTAACTCGTGCTAAAATGTTTTAGATGAACTTCAAATGCCTGACAATCGACTTTTAGCAAACTTTTCAGTAGATTTTCAAGTCGCAAATGTCTGTCGCTTTCCCCAAAACCGGTCGCTCACAATATTCGCATTTCCAACAAGAACAAAAAGATTCAGTATTTCCTGTAAAGCAAACGTGCGAGGAACTAAGACTACAATTAATTGAAGAGGAAATTAAAAGTGTATTTAAAGTCATTAAATATAACTTTAGAAAACCATCATGATTACTAAAGAAAACAGAATAATTCTTCTCAGTCAAACATTTAAATCAGCATACATTTATTAATCGCTATATATGTTTATCACAAACTCAATTCTACAAGATGATACAAATTGGACATTCACCTAACCGGACGTCAATGTGCGCCAGAAAAGCAAAACCTCTGTCTTACATTGTAGGAGTTTTACGCAGTATTTACATATTGTCAACAAAACAGTTGCCAAGCAAACCATTTTTGCACTTTGCCTACAAAGTCTTTCCTTCTTGCATCGGTTTAATTACTATGCTAAAATTTTCTTGTGAGAAGAAAAAAAATCCCTTAATAAACATTCTAAAATGCCACAATTTCTGTGCCAACAAATAAAACCAAAAATCTCTTTTTGGTATCAAAGGGCCGACACCGAAATGTATATTTACACACGATAAGCTATTTTTTTTGTTGTTTACATGGGAACATATTTTATACGAATATCGAGTCTGAAACTTGGGAAATTTAAGAATATTTTTAGAATTAGTCCGAGGCTAAGATTTTGAGAAGAATATAATCTTATGCGTCAAAACTTTGCAAATACAATGAAATTGTATGTTATCAATTAAAATTCTTTCTTTCTCTAAACGGTAAAACTAACCCCCAAAAAGCACTAACCGTATAATTTGGATCCTAATAACCCTGACTTCTGCAAGAAGTTATGTGTGTCATATTAGGTTCTAATCTTAGAATATTCACAGGAATAATTTCAGCTTAAAATCGGCGGTAAAATCGGAATATTCAGTCTGGGCCGGAAAAAAAATATTATTACGAAAGAAGAGTGTAGCCAATGAACTTTTAAATATTTACANTATTTCCTGTAAAGCAAACGTGCGAGGAACTAAGACTACAATTAATTGAAGAGGAAATTAAAAGTGTATTTAAAGTCATTAAATATAACTTTAGAAAACCATCATGATTACTAAAGAAAACAGAATAATTCTTCTCAGTCAAACATTTAAATCAGCATACATTTATTAATCGCTATATATGTTTATCACAAACTCAATTCTACAAGATGATACAAATTGGACATTCACCTAACCGGACGTCAATGTGCGCCAGAAAAGCAAAACCTCTGTCTTACATTGTAGGAGTTTTACGCAGTATTTACATATTGTCAACAAAACAGTTGCCAAGCAAACCATTTTTGCACTTTGCCTACAAAGTCTTTCCTTCTTGCATCGGTTTAATTACTATGCTAAAATTTTCTTGTGAGAAGAAAAAAAATCCCTTAATAAACATTCTAAAATGCCACAATTTCTGTGCCAACAAATAAAACCAAAAATCTCTTTTTGGTATCAAAGGGCCGACACCGAAATGTATATTTACACACGATAAGCTATTTTTTTTGTTGTTTACATGGGAACATATTTTATACGAATATCGAGTCTGAAACTTGGGAAATTTAAGAATATTTTAAGAATTAGTCCGAGGCTAAGATTTTGAAAAGAATACAATTTGTGCACCTGAAAATTTGCAAATTCAATAAAATTGTATTTTTTCAATTAAACAGCAGAACTAGCCAAAAAGAAAAAAGCACTAAGCGTATATTTCGGATTCTAATAACCCTGACTTTTGCAAGAAGTTATGTGTGTCATATTAGGTTCTAATCTTAGAAATTCACAGGAATAATTTCAGCTTAAAATCGGCGGAAAAATCAGAATATTCAGTCTGGGCCGGAAAAGAAATATTATTATAAAAGAAGAGTGTAGCCAATGAACTTTTAAGTATTTACAACTGTAAATTCGCGCCAGACGTATTTTGTACATAGCCCCAGCCCGACGAAATCAGTTTCTTCTTTATAACTCCACTACGAGAAACTTTAAAGATTTTCCCCAGTTCCAACTTTAATTTCTTCCTCGTTATTTGCAAATTTTCATATAGTTTCAATACATACATTATCTTTTAGCTCCAAGAATAGCAAAGATGCACGATAATCGGTACATTCGTAAATGGACGGGATTTTTTCTTTCAAACCGGGGAAACCACAGGAAACCATAATAACGATAACACTTAAGTTTCGGACGGACTTTCAACCAAGAAAGTTAAAAGGAGTGACTTAGCTTCTCGGCCGCCTATTCGCGAAGAATGATATAATTATATTTTGGTACCTTTTTGCACAGGTACAATTTGCTGAAATTCTTTGTGTTGCAGGCATGATTCAGGAGACAGTAAATTAAAATAACACTTAATCTTCCAAGTGTCCGCCTGGAGGGTTAATGTCATTTATACGTTGATTCTCGTGTGGATCACGCAGGAGGCTGTGATGAGTATCGTATAAAATAGTTTGTCTCGCGTTTGGACAGCCTTTAGCAAAGTTCACGGAATGTTGTAGAATCGCAGTATTTCGATTTTGACGTACTACCAAGGCCATGCTTCTTCTTCTTCTTCTTCTTCTTCTTTTTTTTTTTTTTGGCCATGCTCGCTGAACCTTGATCCAAATTCACATCGTTCGGCCCTTCGAATCTACCTTACTTTATTGTATATCCCTGGCCACTTTCACCGGGGATTGTTACGGTTTCTAAAGAGATAAACGAGGATGGTTTCTGCAGAGGAAAATCGAGGAGGTTGTTGTCGTGGCATCACGTGTGGGAGCCGACAGGGATCGTGTAAACATTATTTCATGACATATTCCGGGACCACCTGAAGCCACTGCTAGACCACAGGATTTTGTTCTTGCCAACAAGCGGGTCGGTCTGATCGCGTTGTGTAGCCCCGGAGTGTCTTCCACTGTATATGCACCAAGCGCTTCGTCTGACATATCCCACTGCACCAACTGTCGGATGCCTCGCTGGAGGTTTTCGTATTCGTAATAGTTCTAACATAGCGTTCCTGAAGCGGAGATCTCTACAGCAGTAGAGCAAAGGATTCACCAGAGAATTTAACTGAATCAGTGTCTCCCACAACAGGAAAGAGGTACTTGTGTGAAGGACTGGGAAAACCTCACCTAAGCTAAACAGAACAACTGCTGGGAGAAACGAGAAAACTAATGCACCTGTTAGCATGGCAGCCGTCTTAGCAATTTTGGCTTCGAGTTTGGCTTTTATTAGTGAGGTGACTCGGCTGATTTCGCTTATGTTACGTTTGCGTATACCACGGTACACCGTGAAGTAGAAAGAAAAGATAAGAATTAAGGCAACTGCTGCACATACGCACCACACCACGTAAGTCTTTTCGGAGGTCATAACGTCCACATTCAACATTTCCATTATGAGAGCAGGAACTGTTAGAAATATTGCCAAGAACCATGCGATTATCACTAGTCTTTTGACCAGGCTTTTGGAGACCAAAACATTGTACTCCCTCCATTTTGTCACCGCCACGTACCTATCCCAGGCAATCGCAGTCAAATGATACAAGGATCGCATCGAGAGACAATACATCGAGTAAACATTAAATATGTCTAACAAACAAACATGGTCAAGCCAAACCTGGTGGACAACTAACAAGCCAATGGCGGCTGATAAGGGAAGATTTACAGCGCCTACCAGAAGATCAGCAATCGCTAGGCTAAACAACAGGGTGGTCCAGGGATTTTGCAGCTCTTTCCTCTGCTTTACTGCTATGATGACAGAGATGTTCAAGATTACGGTCGGGGGGGAAGTAATGCATGTGATGCCGAGCAAAATCCAAGGAAACGTTGTACCATCGAGGTCCCACAGTAAGTTGGGTGCGTACGGGCAAGAAAAGAACATTGACCTGAACTCAGTAGCCAGAATAGAGGTTGTTTCTGTGTCATTTAAGGCCATGTTGATGCAAAATAACTTGCAAAATGTATACGAGAGAATTGGTGCGTTTTCATCTGCCACTGAAGAATTGGCTTTGATTACGGATGAGCTCTTTAAGCTTTTTTTGTATGCGTTAGCCAGTGTTTCCGTCACAGCCTAAATGATCTTTTATACTCGCACGATCGTTCCAATAACCGTATAGAAATTTTTTAGTCTTTCTTGAGCAAGATTATCGCTTTTAACCAATCACAAGGCGTTCTTTCTTTAGCAATTTACTGCCATTTCCTGTAACTGCTCATGGCACACTTGTCCCAAATTTGCTCTTTTGTACTGCTCACTAGTCTTTGTTAAAAAATTTAAAAAAGTAGGATTTGGTGACGTATAGCATGACAAAGGGCAGCCCTTACTTAGCTTCCCTCCTCGACCGTTACTTCATTCGTATTTCATTTCCCCTTGGCTATCAACAATTTGGAATAAGTGATGAGTTGTCGGAAGTCTTAGCGGCGTAGGTTCTGTTTTACAAAAGTTACTAGAACACCGTGAATGATTTACGTCTACTAATGTTATGGAAAATTGTCCTTCAATTGAAAAATGGCAGAGAGAATTCGGAAAAATTGTCACTCGATCTGAAGAAAGTCTGAAAATAAGAACACACTTCAAATGGGGGTGACTCGAAATAGAAATAGGTTTGAAATAGAAAACTTTAGGCTATCGGACATAGGAAAACGAGTTATGCTTTGAGCGCTTTCGAGAATGGCGAAGGGGTTACATATCCCTGGCTGTGAACAATAACTCCCTGCCGAAGGGCCAAAGATAGAAGACCCTAGCTCCCTGTATCAACTTTCTGTAGACAATTCTACCAGACGTTTACAGAGCATAAACTTTTTATCTTAACGAAATTCCTAGGAGACGTGATTTAAAATTTGAAAACTTGTTCTATTCTTCTGTATATCAATATGCAAGCGAAACTCATTAGGCTTTTCAGGTACCAGGTCTCGTTCGCAGCTCTCAGGTCGCGCAATGGCTGAAGCCTGGAGGAGACTGTCTTGCACCAAGCCTCATATTGATGTAGAGGCAATTGTCAACTGGTCAGCGGGAGACGATATGGAGAGCTCAACCCTTATAATGGGTATAGGCAACACAGCGGTCAAACGTCTGCGCATGTGCGAGCAATGGAGCGACTAAAAGGCCATTCTCGTCCCCAGTGCTACTCGTCTTAAAATGTCGTTTCTCCGACCATGTGACCAAAAGAAACGGAGGCTCTGGGGACGAGAATGCTAAAAGGCGGTCAAAATATTTTCATGACATTGTTCTTTTCGTGGGTCATCGGCATCCTATAAATGACATTTTCCTCGTTATTTATATATTTGCTTATG